CTTTTAGTCCCTCGGCGTACACGCATTACGACTATGTGTGTATAATATTATACATACATAATATTGTACATCTGATAATAGCCGGCTCGTCCATTGTGTTTGACTGCTGTACGATCGAAACCAGAATTCAAAGGTTATCATTATTTTTTGAGGTGCCTGAAGAATGCCTGGCAATGACGAAATCTCTGTGGGAGAGTCCACCGCGGCAACGCTCAACGGTTAGAAAAAACGCTCATCAACCCTTTAAGATGTATTTATTTTTTTGTTTAAGGGGAACCAAGGGTAAAAACTATTGAAATAGCCTTACAATGCTCACATACCACCATATCTATTGATCACCGCGTCCTACCCTACGATTATTATTTCGTTCTCTACAACTCGGCCAACACTTGGTCGTTTTGCTACTTAGATCGGCGTCATTACGCGTACTTGTTGTGAGTGTCACCGGTGTGCGCTTCCGTAAAAATAACATTGTGCCTACGCGTACTTTGCTGTGGACGTGACCCCTCGTTTGTTACTTCTGGTCGAGCACATAATACCCTTTCGGAAACGTCGGGAGGTCCAAACGGTTCGGTCACTTTGTTTCCCGATTGCTGATAACGTTTTGGTCGTCCGTGTGCTTTGCGTTGCTGCGGATCTCTTTGATCCAACGAGTAATTCGTGTCAGCCGCAGATTCGTTCAAACTGTTTTCCTGAACTCGACTGAATATTTGTTGTATCGTTTGATCCCAACAACTGGACGCTGTTGTTTGCGTGTAAATTACAAACAAATGCCTCTCGCGGTGTACCCACGTTTTTTTATTTTGCCGTGTATCGTTAACGAAAATCTCGGTCGGGACGTACGCCTACTCGTACCTGACCACTTGACGTTTATCCAATTGATAATAAATTCCATTTAATATAATTATTTGTTACGATATAAAAGCCATAACCTTTTTGTAGACACGTGCATGAACGCAGCTTATAATTCACAGTCTTACGGCGGCGACTGTCTTTACAACATAATACACACTAGATTTCTAATCGATTTAAATACTAGTAATTCAAATGGTTTATAGACAAAGAGCAACGTTGATGCTCAGACCAACTTTCCTTGGTCGTTAAAAAATGTATATAATTATTATGTCAAACATTTGAATACACGTTGTTTTGTAAAACCTTTCTCCGGTTCGCTCGGAATTCAGTAACTATTAGAGGCAGTGAAGCAACCGGGGCAGGGTTTGGGGATTATAACCCCCACCCCTGCCGAAATAGTTCTAACAGCGACTGTTGAATTTTTGACGTGGTCGACCTATTATTTTGAAAGCCCTGCTCAAAAAAATGTCCAGGGATTTCAGAGAGTAGACGTTATGTGTGCTGAATTAGACGTGTACTGGTGAACTTTTTTAGGATTACATCACCGCACATAGTTTATGCTTATTAAATGAATTCTCGCTGATGACTTTTTTTTTAACGAACAAAAACAAAAGTACTTTTGATTGGTGCAAACTTTTTCAATTTGTCTTAATTATCTTTCCTATATATATTTTTTGTTTATCGTTTTTTGACAAAACTTGTTTTACAATAAAGTTTATTTGTTTTTACGTCACAGACATCGGTGCGCATATATAATTATGAAAAAAGTGAATAATTAATCAAGTACTCTGCCTGCGATATACCAATAGTATTGTTTTATAATTTTCATTAATCCATTAACATTGTTTATTCGTTGTACCTGATGTACGTGTTAGGTAAGTGCAATAATGTGTTGTGGTTAACTGCATGTCACTGATCACGTTTGAACCTGCCAGTAATCCAATATAATTCGGAAAGCTCTTTCCACATAAAACTGCGACAGGCAATATTATAAAAAACCGACTATTGGCTACACTCGTGTGTCAACGCTGTTCAAATTTAATGTCGTGTATAGAACCCTATCTAATAATAATATCATACGGCCAACGGATAAAACGTGAACGGTTGGTTACCTTTTAATACAAAAATGTATTTTCTATGCGATGACCTACGGTCAATATCCATATAATGTTTTGTGGTTATTTAAAAACACAGCAAACTATATGTGTAAAATAATCGTGTACCGTTCAAAAGCAGCCCAAAATAACAACATTATTTTCGTATCAATTTAATCGTTTCACGAGCTTTGATAAGTCCTAAATAGATGTAAAGTCATAGGCACCGTTTGGTTTATAATTAGTTTTACATTTATTTTAGTTTGCCCGGCCACTAGACATCACATGCGAACTATTTAAGTCGGCCCCGCAACTTGATTTACAGCTATTACGTGTACCGTAATGGGATCTGTTGTCGTCGCGTTGATAAAATTGTTTTTTTATCAATAATTATTCGTTGCAATACAATGTACGATTGTTAGCCTAACTAGAAGCCAAACGGGCTGTACACTAAAATTATCGACAATTAAACGGTTTCGACAAATATTAATTAACACGTATGCTTAAATATATTTAACCATGAAAGTTCATTAACATTACTGGGCTTCTAATGTATTTATTGCCGTTGGATTTTGTTTCATCAATTGTGTTTATTTCGATAACAATACTGTTACGGAATTTAATTGTCTAATCGATGCATTTTCATTGTCTGCGCTCGTACTCATCGCGAGTGGCCAATGTGTGTAATTGGTATCATTTTTCAATTTACGGATTTAGAGCGACGGTCGTTCAGAACAGTTTAATTATATTGATAGTAAAAATAAATAACAGTCGTTATTCTCGAATTCAGTTTTTGATTACTTTTTTGATTAACTTAAATTGCTTTTTAAAAACCTAAACTTTTTCGCGTCTCTCTAATTTCTTTGTTTAATGATTTTTTCCATTTGAGTTTATCTCTGCTTAATAACTGAACACACCCCCACTGTTTCGTAAAAAAAAAAAACTATTAAGTTGACGGATATTTAATATTTAAAACACGGCGTCAACTAAAAGTTTTACTAATGCGCAGAATAAAAAGGGTGATGAGTATATATATTTTTTGTATTACCTTTTTTTATCGTACTGTGTATGTTGCATCGTTCAATTTTGCATCCCTGCGCGGTCAAAGGCGGGTGACACGTTCCCTTTCAAACGTTCCCCTATTCGGGAGAGCGGTAACAGCAGGATAATAGTAAACAGTGCTGACAAAGAAACACCTTCCCCTTCTCTGCCAGATGGTACCGACAAAATTTCATCTTCATTAAAATCGAGGCTCCATCAAGGGCATTTTTTAGTCGTTTCAAAAAAGAAACCGTGTTGAAAACACTCAACTTTCGAGTATTTTTACAATATTCATGTTTAACAATGTTTTTCTTTTGAGCGAGACATAAAATAAAAAATATTTGGATTAAAGCGGTGGTTTTCTATTAATTTTTGTATTTAATTCGTTAAGTAAATTTTAACAATACGCTACGATTAAATAATTTTTTGTTGAACACAAAAACGAACAAAAAAAAATTCCTATTTAGTATTCCGATAGTCATTGTAATAAAACTCATAATACAAATAAGAGTTTATTTATTTTTCTAATGAATATTTACAGGTCCATTGTTTAACGAGTAAAAATAGTAATTTCCAAATAAAATACGGGTTCGTTTTACTAATATTAAAAAGAAGAGTTCTTACACAAATATAGTAACTTGGTTTGTCGATATAAAAATTACGAGTTACAAAAAAAAAAAGTACATTTTTCTAAATTTAAATTTTGCCCGTCTGTTCTTCAATTATATATTTTCCTACGTACCAAATTTTCCCCTAATTTGTCTATTATTCTAAAATATTATTAATACAGAGCGATTTTGGCTTTTATTTGAAAATATTGTTTGGTTGGACTATTCAACGTTGCCAACTTGCCACGAAAAAGAGAAGTGGCGACGCCGGATTGTTAATTGATACTTTTTTTTAATTTACAGCCATTGCAAGCCGTGCTCAAGGTCAAAAAATTTACTCGTTTTTGTCCTGTTGCTTGTTATAATACAAAATCAAAACGAATCCACATAGTANCGAAAAAGAGAAGTGGCGACGCCGGATTGTTAATTGATACTTTTTTTTAATTTACAGCCATTGCAAGCCGTGCTCAAGGTCAACAAATTTACTCGTTTTTGTCCTGTTGCTTGTTATAATACAAAATCAAAACGAATCCACATAGTATTTGTAACTTTTTATAACGAACAGAGACCGTTAATTGACTTCCTAGTCGCGGTGATAATGAATTTTTTAACTACAACTAGTAATCGCCTCCGACGACAAACGAATACCGACTATTACGGTCTGTAGATTATTCACACCAAGTCCCTCGGAAGACACCGAAGTGGTCTCAACTGTGTAGTACAAGACTTTTGATTGAAAAAAAAAAAAAATCATCGGGCCGCGCGAAAACAATACAATATATTATTATGATCTGACACGGTGTTTTAGGTCGACTTGTGTTGGCCGGATATCCTGAGGTTTCGGACAAAGACCTAAAAAATTCGTCGAGTCCTCATCGCCCTTTTCTTTAACAACTACTCGCACTTCTTTCTCCTGGTCCGGTGGTGCGACGAAATACGCCCACGACCGCGGCCGGTTGCGTACGTGTTTATTTGTGCGTGCGCGTTGGTGTTTTCGAACAAAGGGAAGTTCGGTACACGACGACACAACGACGCTCTGTCCGCGGTTAGAACGGTGGGACAGCGGTGAGAACGCTGGGCAAAGATGACGGGACGTGGCGGAGGGAGTGAGAGCGCGAGGCAATGATAGAAGGCGCGTGTGTGCGCGCATTATTTAGGGCCCTCGGGGCAAAATCGTGTGGCGGGGGATCGGGTCCGGGTAGCGGTAGTCGATGGTCCCCACCACCACTCGTTGCGAGCCACTTCCCCACACGGTCACGTCGGCACCGTTCGGTAGGGCCTGCGGCAGCGGCAGATAGTGGCGGACGATGACGGTAGAGTGCGGCACTAGTGGGGCGACGGGGCCGCGGGGTCTCTTTGTTCCAACAGCTGATCGAACCGGCCGGCCGCCGGTACTGGTAGTGCCAGTCAGTCAGTAATCGTATCTATCGTTCTTCAGTTGATCAACCGCCGCGGTCAGATTCGGTTCACTCCATAGCTGTTCGACATAGGCGACTAATCGTATATAAACGTTCAAGTGAATGTGCTGATAAACATAATAATTTTTTACATACAATAACCGAGTGGTTTTCGAATTATTTAAAATAACGAAACGCACTAAAAAAATTGCGAAGAAAATGGAAGTTGTTCCTCCTTATTATATACAACCGTCGTATCCCGTTCATTCGACTCTCGGTACTAATTTTTTTTTTCCCTTAAACGTTTATGATTTTTTTTTTTTTTAACCGATATGCTAAATATTTGTGATTTTTATGTGTACAGGAATCTTGAAACTGGAGGACATAGAGTCGGAAACCAGTGCGTTTATGGCACTACACCAACGGCTTGAAGAAGAACTCCGAGCGGCCAAACGAGCGCAGTTATCGTGCGGCGAAGTTTTGCTGCCGCCTGATCTTCTCCGGAGGATAGCCAGAGATGTGCTTAAAATGGCCGAAAGCGAACCCTGTGGTCTCAGGTGAGTCGGAATATTTTTTTACCGACAAATTTATAAAGATTCCTTTATCTTGCTTACCTTTAATAGTTTCTAAATTTTATTTCAAACTCCCCATTTTAAAAATCATGTGACCCGTTAACCGGATTCGTTTTTTTTTCTCAGAGGATGCACATTGTACCTGAATTTCGAAGGCGACCAAGAATGCCGGAAAATCGGTACAATCAAATGTGATACCAACACAGTGTCGACATTCGAATTGTTCCTCACACTCAAACAAGATCCCCGAAATACGTGGTCGCTCATTCCTCTATTCATTAGGTAAAGATGTAATTTTTATTATTTTTTTCGACCGCTTTGGTGTCGCGACTGTTAATTTTTTTTTCCGCGTTCTAAATGCCAGTCGATTCTAATCTCGAGCGTCGTCGTTTGTTTAACAGGAATTTAACTAAAGGTGGTACCATAGTGATAGATCAAGAATTCACCATAGAAAAAAGGAAGCTGTACCGGTCTTTTTTGGAGTGAGGACCAGCGACGTCCGGTGCTGCCGAACGACAGTGCCACCTCCTCCACCTCCTTCTCATTGTCAGTATCTCATCATAACACCATCACTACCACCACCTCCACCAACAACACCACCGACGTGAGTGAGAGAGAGCCAAGACTGATTCCCTCGGAACAGCCTGTGCGTTTTTTGAAAAATTTAAAAACAACAAATTATGCACTACTAACGAGCGTGCGCAGTTTACGACTACCACCAAGTAATAACGACATTTTTGTAATATTGTTTTAAAAAATATTAAGAAAAATCGTGTAGACGCCATTTTCCTTGGTCTTGTAAGTGGATCTGTGGTGTGGAAAGTGAAAAAATAATAATAGTATGTATTGTGTGTGTGTATATATAGTATTTTATGTTAAATGATATGAAGAAAAAAACAAATTATATAAGTATGAATATATATATATATATATATATATATATATATAGATACATATATACGCGCAAGAAAAATTTTTAAAAATTCGATTGTGATCAGTCTTTGTGTTACGTTTAATTTTTGTTTTCGTTATTATTTATGTCGATAAATTTATACATTGATATTATATTTATATTATATATGTCTCCAGATTATAATACTAATTATTAATATTTCCTTTTTTTTTTTTTACCCATAAATCGTTGTTTTTTGTCGGCTTTTTATAGTTATATACATACATAATGATAAATATATATTTATAGAGCGTAAATATTAAGATTATTAGGTACACAGATAGATATTGTAGATTGTAGTTTCTTTAAGTCGATTTTGAATTAGGTACAGTTAAAATCTTTTTTACATAGTCGTACGTACTTTTTTTTATAAGTGAAAATCATAATAGTGGACAGGATTTAACAAAAATCTGAAAATATAATACATAAAATAAATTGTAAAAAAAAAAAAAAAAAACTAAAAAAATATATATATATTGCTAATTTCATTCAAAATATTAGTGTGTCCAGACAAAAGAAAAAATAATACTTAGTTGGTAGGTTTTAACAATTATTAACTTTTATGTAGGCTAAAATATCGCACCAAAAAATTTTGATATAATTTCAAAAAATATAAATCCTTATTTAAATAGGCGTATTTTTAGAAATTTGCCAAGATGTCTTTCACGTTCAAATTTATTTATATTTATTAAAATATTATATGAATCGATATAATTAATAATTAAATGAAAAAAAAAAAAGTTAACCTTAGCGTAAGTGTTCCTAACTGACATCACATTAATGAAAACATTTTATATATTTTCAATAAGATTTCGGTGATAAATTATTGAATGAAAAATCTTTTCTTTAAGTATTTTCTGTGTTTGTCTCACAATTGTTGTGATGAATTTCAGTAGGGTTTATATGTACAAAATATACCTATGAATATGAATTATTAATGAGAAAAGTGTAGAGGTAGATTCTATTTAGAATTTCATAATTGAAAAATAATATATTATAATACACAGATTCAAATATATATATATATATATTTATTTTATTAAACAACCAGTCAAAAAAAAATAATGTTAATAATTAGCATTAAAATATATTTGTTTAAAAATAATTTTTATTAATTAGGCTAGTGAAATACCTATATATTGTGATAACGGATTTTTACTTTTTCCTTAAATGTTAACTTTCAAATTTTGTAGGCTTTTATTAAAGCGCGTGTGAATTTTTTTACATAAAAGACGGTCTTTAACTCACAAAATTTAACAGTTAAATTCTTTACAAGAAAAATAATATTATATATTGTAAAATTATATTATATATAAAATAGAGTTTTTGGCTATAATAATATATTATGTTTTCTGATCTCAGTGACACTGTAAAGTGTATTCTTAACAGTATTTTTTTTTTAAGTTAAGTTTACCTTTGAATTGTGTTTATATTAAAAATAATATAACTGCGCTTGTATCGAGCTCAACACTCGTTATTGTAAAAGCGTTGGAGAATTTATATATTTTTGTTTATATATTTATATATATTTTTTGTTAATGTCAAAATACTACTCTCCCTATTGATTGTGGCACGACCTCACACCCTCCCGGCCATTCATATCACTTCATAGCAATTGTCATGTTTTTTTTCTTATTTTGTTATGTTGTAGTATATGAACAAAAAAACTATGCAAAAAATTGAGAAATTAATAAAAAAATAATATTTTGACAAAAATGCTTTGTGTTTATTATTTTTCTTTCCTTCCAGTTAAAAATAGTGTTGACTTTTCATTAACGTTGTGATGCGATAAGATCACAAACGACAGCATAAGATTTGTGTTTTGTGCACTACATGGCTACGATGATGAGCCTATGAGTCGTCGTCGGGTTGATAAGTTGTCAACTCGTTTTGAGATATATTGTTTTTTAAGGCGTTAATGATATACAAACTGCTGATTGTCGGCAACAAATTTTTATTACTTTTTTGTTTTCGATGAAAATTGACCTAATTACAATCGCTAGTGCGACCTGGTCATTGAACCTGACAAACTGGTAGTACGGTAACCACATAAAACTGTGTGCAGTACCGATTTTCTGAAAACGATTAATTGGAAAATCTGTCAAAGTGGAAAATGAGAGTAAAAGTGTATTTTCGTTACAGCCAAGTTGTTTACTTGTGGTTGAATGCTGACGGTTTTCTGAAATTCAGTAGAAAAATAAAGGCACACGAAAACATCTACTGGCAACTATATTGTTGTAACCAATTAAAACGGTTTACACGCGTCACACATCAATGTGATAAGTAAAAACTGTCGCGAGGACTCGTTGAAACGGGTCAGTGTGCAATAATTATATTTTTTTATTGTTCTTATTCGGGCCTATGATACTCTTTGAAGTTTAGAAAAAAACACATTGTTTTTGCTATACCGATTAATGCATATGGTCCGATCTAAAAGTACGTCATAATATTATTCGCTGTCACCCGACAGTGTAAATAATATTTTTTTAGAAACTACCGTGGCCTTGGGATAAGACGATAAATTTCTATACAGGCATAACACAACGAGCGTTTCATAATTAAAACTGATAACGCTATGATACTAAAGTGTATCATGAAAAATAATACTTATCAGACTAAATGATCGACGTTAGTGAGCGATAATAATGTTCGTGCCCCCCCTACGTTGAACAAGTATGGCATTTTCTTTACCAACAGTTTCTAAGGTTTGATTACATTGTGCGTGCGAGTACATAAACACAATAGTTTTTCAACGTTGAAAATTTATTAATTTCTGGAGTATTAATTATCAATCGAACATTAGGTTGTCCGCCATAGAAAAGGTCACGAGCTGTTTAAAATTAACTCGGCGATATGCATTACTATTATTTCAATATACTGATAATACTTTAATCGAACTCGACAATTTTTTTCTCTTGCTGACGTAGGTAGATCTGAGCTTGTTTGTCGCAGTTTTTTAACGTTACCTAGAAAATATCAAACTATTATACAAAACGCTGTATGATAATAAACCCGTGTTATAAAAAAAAAAAATCTTCGACGGAGTTGACGATTGAGTATTCCGTTCGCCCACATAGTTAATTATTTTGTTATTTTTTTCGGAGTTAGGACGTGAATGTATAATATTTTGGAACAAGTGGAGAGCATATAATTTTATTCGTGGTATCCTACACTGGTACCAGTTGATGGTAACCAGTTACTTCGATTGTGTATCGAATCCGACCCAGCGGCCGTCGTGGCACCGCCGCTCGTACAGGTACGGACGTGCAGTAAACCTGTACGGTCTGGTCACGACGGCGGCAGTGTAGTAATTTATCGGCTCCAGTGGCCGCCGATGCTGCCGCCGCCGCCGACCGTGTATGTGAAATATTATGTCGTCTGCGGACTATGGGGCAGTACTGACTCGTACCGGTGCCGTCCGACCAACCGATCTGAACTGTGGTGGATTACCGAACGCGGGCGATAGTCAAAAGTATTTACTCCAAAAATATACGGGCGGGAGAAAAGGAACACCACTTGTCGAACCACCGGAAAAACATCTGTACAGACGTTACTGTGGTACAAAAACAAAAAATGCGGAACCGCATATCGCCACGGACGATAACGTCAGCGCGCGGTGTATTTAGAACGATAAATGGTAAAAAAACATACATCGATAATATACATCGAGTGTGGAAGAGTTCCGATGGAATCAAGTTTGCACTAGCGTGTATTGCGTTTAAAAAGATTGTTGTCGAATTTTAAGATTGAACGACGAGTAGTTACAACAAACGTTTATGTAACGACGCCGCCGCCCATCAACGTAATCGCGCGTTACAAGAATCGTTTGCGTGCAGTTTGTGTATAAATATATTAAAATTTTTTAACGCGTAAACAACGATCCGAATAGACAAGTTGGCGTCGAGCGGCCAACTGTGTACAGTCGGGGAGAGCGCGTGGTGTCGATTAAACAACAATAATAAAAATATTCATTTGGAAATCTCGACACGCACTCCGACTGCATTCAAACATTTTCTTGGTTTTTGTTTTTCTCGTTCTTTCTCCTCGACTGTTTCCCTCTGCTCTGGCCACCGTTTTTCCTCGGGCGTTTTATAAATAATTCCCGTTAACCAACAGCCCAAACGTCATCTCGCGCATCATCGCGTCGGCTAATAGCATTATAATTTATAGGACTCGCACGCTTTACACCGGGCCCGGGCCAGCTACCGCAACAAAACCTCTTCTGTGCCCTAACAGATGTCTATAAATACCAGCGCGACCGCTCGTGTGGAGTTTACGGCAGCGCGTACCAGAAGGGGACGCGGTTGGTAGCAAGGGGCGGGCGGGGGAAAGCTCGGACTGGCATTGCGGTTCTTTGTTTATTGCGTCGACGGTGGGAGGGGGGACACCAGGGACGAGTGAGGTCGCGGTACACGCGCAAATTTTTAATTCGCACGTGTCCATTACTCGCTCTATTTAGGTTGCAGTTGCACGTTAAGGTCGTCGGTTCTTTTTATACATGTTTTTCGAAAAGTGCGGCCGCCCGAAAGTATTTATTTATTTTCGGATGGAAAACGAATGGTGCGCGCGAGACAAAGAAGAACGAAAACCAGAAGATTATGATAATTTATAACGTCGTTAATAGCAGTAAAAGTAGTGTGTTAAGTAAATTTACGTACAGTACCTCACTGTTAATGTGCAGTTCATTTATAGGCCTTACCGTTGTTGTTGTTATTATTATTATTATTACAGTCGGACAATTAAACCGAAGCCAGAATAATATTTTATTCACGACCGATTAGCTATTTATACACAGCCGGTAGTAAAAACGTCTGTGTTCCGACCGTTTATAAATATTACCTTATACATGTATATTTTTTTCCCGTTCACCGTTCTATCCGTTGCTATTGTGCCGCCCGTACCCTCCTCCCGTCGCTCACTTGTGGGATGACAAGTCGAACAAACCCGTTTATGTGCTTTTTATTTTATGGTCGTGTATTATACAATGTAATAACGGCAACGACAACAATAGACCTAATAGTCGCACGACTATGGTCTGCTGAACTCGTCGATGATAACGAATAAATCTGTAATTACAATAGAATTTCTTTCTTTGGACGCCATCGAGAAGAAAATATAATAATTTCCGATAATTATTGTTGGTAGTCATGAGTTTTAGCACATTTGCTGAACTATCGAGATTCGAATAATAAAGAAAGAAAGAAAAAAAAATGGATTTTTCTTCGCGGTAAAAAACACCGAAATAAATATTTTCGCTGCTGACGTTTGTCGATTTCGTTGGGCTGTTCGCACGTCACCGCCGTCGCGTTTGTCGCCAATGTTATTAATTTCGAATCGGATAATTTAAATAACGAGTATCTATTAAAATAATTGAACGCCGCGATTAATATCTCAATGTTTTCTATCCAACGCACAAAACAAATAACATCAATAAAAACGATTTCAGTAATTTCGTCGTAGGACGGCGTGAAATCGTCTTTGATTTTTGAAATTCAATGACAAAAGAAAGTCCTGTGCAACGAATCATTTTTGATGTGTTGGTTTTTTCTACTTCTAATCGCGCTCTCAGTCCGATGATAACGACTAGGCTGCCTGTACGGAGAAAGTTTATTTTAAAATAATTGTACGACACTATTATGTATTCGTTTTTTTCTTTATCTCTGCGAGTTACACATCTCGGTAGCCGACACGTGTGCATACCTAATGCGCACAGTATTAACATTTGACTAAGCCGTTCGCGGTGCGGGCGGCGAGGCAATGAAATTTTACCGCGCGCTCCCAGATAGGAAAACGATTAAGGGCTTAGATTATGTTCAGGTTTGGGACCCGGTGGGGTTAGACGAGTTTCCTTTTGCAGCCCCCGCACGGAGACTGCGATAAGGTTGGAGGGTCCTAAGAACCATTATGTATGCTACGTTTAATATTCATTCTGAACAACTTATGTAGGGGTCACAAAATTTGTAACGTTAGAAGTGTGACCGACGCGAGTAAGAGTATTATTAATTATGCGTTGATTTAGTTTACCCCTATTGTTTTGCAAATCCTATTATAGTGACCCTTACTGGTTTCAATTAATCGACTTGTAGTATAAGAAACACATTGTTGTAACAACAAGACGTTTTGCCGGGTCAGCGCTAGAAATAAAATCGTTACTTTCTTTAAAAAAAAATCGTATGTTTGTTTGAAAAACAAAATTGAATTAAACGCTTGTTTGATTTGAGTGTTAGGTTATCGCTAAAAAAAAATATTATTATTAATATTTTTTTATTATTTGTTACCGATGTTTAAATAGTGACTAGTTGTTATTTTATTGTTTGAACGTATTATATTTTTTCAAATAAGTTGTCTTAATTTTAGACCTTGCGAACATCCGCATAGAAATATACGTGTTTTTCAATAACATGGGTATTTTTTGTTTCTTTTTAACATAAAAACAAATACACTTGATTTTTGAAACATTTACCGACCTCTGTTTTAAATCATTTTTATTTTTATCTCGAGCCAATACACATAATATATTTTATATTGAAATTACTTTGGAATTTGTTTGTTTAAAATATTTTCTGTACTTTTTTTTTTTTTTGTACACCTGCTCTCGGGAGGACCGACCGATGTTTAGGTTATTTTATTAACTTGTTGTGTCATACTCTTCAAATACGAGAGATGACACATCGTTACAGTCTGAGAAGACGATAATTCAATAACTGCAACCGCTTTTATGAGTTTTAACAGCATATACACTTTGACGGTTTGCGTTTTCTCGTTTCGGATCGGTCAAGAAAATTGCGGTTAACAATCGTTTGTGTTATGGTGGGCAGCACGGCACGTCTGTGGAATTGAATTGTGAGAACCGCATCGGTTTTTACTTCGCTACGACTGAAAATGTCGTCACGTCCGCCATATTGCCTATGTTAAATGTACCTCAACTATCAGCTGATGGTACGGGACGTACCATCAATGCAAACCGCAACCGATTTCCCTTCACTGGAGTTTTTCCTTGACGACCTATTCACTAAATACAAACAAATTAGTTCCGAGCGGGTTTTCATTTCAACATAATTGGATCGTGTGTCCTATTGTGTTGTCGGTAAACGGCACTGATGAAAATTAATCGATCGCTAGTTTTTCCATATTATTCCAGCGCCTTTGTGAGTGCGCTAAACTTTCGTCGTGCAGTTTTGACCGTACCCTGTTAAACGTCACAAAAGTCCTCTTAGCTTCTGGCGACACAAAATTAGTTTGCCTATGAATTGCCTTACTTAAAACATAAATAAACATATGGTGTACCAACTTTTAAGTTCGATTCTTTGTGGCGCACGATTGCTGACAGAACGTAATAACGTTGAGGTCGTGTAATTGCACCGCCTCTTCCATAAAAGTCACGGTCAATGGATTTGTGCCAAAAAAAAACCCTCCCAACGTCTACGTGTATTCTTTTAGTTCTTTTTTTTCTTTCCTTAAAACTGTCCTCGTCATTATCACCAGCGCACGAATTTCTCATTATATTTCCTACCAAACACTGGCAACGTCAGACTTGCCTATTGCTACTGCGTCATGCTCCGATGGTACGGTATATAACGTCGAAAATACGAAAAAAAAATTTGTCGTTTTATCAATTTAATATTGATTGTAGTCATAATGAGAAAACCGCTTAGGCCATCGCTGAGTTCTACAAGCTATGGGCCTTATCGGTATTGTGCTGACGCACTATCGCTTTGAATTTAGTAAAAGATTTTGGCACAATAACGTATTTAGGATTTTTTCGCTGGGGGAGGGGATACATAATTTTTAACAGTCGTATCTATTCAAAATAAACATAATGTATGTTATATTATAACATATTAACGTAGATTAAAAATTGAAAAATTTGATTTTACTATAAAACGTAGTGTAATTTCCTTTGTTCTGTTCATAAAATTATCAAAATTATGTGTCAAATTAGCTCTCGGGGAAGGGGGACATAATCCCCACATCACCAAATACGCCACTGTTTTGGCAGATTTAATACTCTCAACAAATGTTGTGCGACAACACCTTATTGAAGCTCATCGGTGCAATGTAAATTTAAATTTACATAATTACCGCGACACGTGTACAATATAATATTGATGTTCTAATAATTGTTATTTAAATTTTTTTCGGATAATGTTTTTTGTTTTGGGGGATTCTACTTGTACTAACAATAAGTGGTGTACGCTTCCTTCAGGTGTTTGACAACAAAACTATAACGCCGAGTTCTGACGCGTGTAGCACAAAATAAATAAAAGAGTTTTGTTTTTCAAAAACAAAAACGCGACAGTTTTGGCTGCGGCAGTATAAACAAATTAAAAAACTCGTCGTACTTGAATGATATTTCCTACACCGTTTCCAATACGAGCGTTCTGTACCACTCGTTCTAAATTGCCTCTAAGAATAATAATGTCTGCACGATTTGAAAGATCACCACACACGAATGGCGTAATGAAAATTTAAAAAAGGCCTTCGATTCGGCTCGCGCGTTTTATTTCCACTTGCCGTTTATATGAGTTATACCGATGTTTTTATGATGCCATACTTGAAAATCTAAGTAGAATTTTTTTTTGGAGACTAAAACCAAACAATATAATAGCAATGGCGCCAATGTGGAAAGCCGCATTGTTTCGAGATTATCTTTACAACGTCGCCCTTTGTCCCTTCCAGTGTTAAGAGACGTATATGCCTTTTTTTCATACGATTCATTGTCAGTTCTGGTTTATTATGCCCCGAAATCGTCGTATATTGTCTTATATATATATATAAATGTATGTATATGTATATGTGTGCGTGTGTGTGTTTAGGGTTTCATTGTTTGCTCGTATTTAGCTTAAGATGGACGTGGCTTCTATTTCACATTGCTTTGTCTACAAAAATATTCTTAAAATAATTATCGTCGGCCGTATTTAGTCGGATAATAAGTACGATTGCTAGCGACGATGTTAACCATAATGTTGGACAACATAGTATTAAAATGCTCGTTTGTTTTACTTTTATAAATTGTAGAACAACAAGGACATGTATGTTAGTAGACAAATGGCGGTATTGGTACGTCGCATACGACAACGATTTGTTAATGATGACTTGACATATTATACGCCGGGATTATACGAAAAGGGTAGATGAAACTTAACCATATACCGCGTAGCTGTTGACTAGCGTCTATTCTTGTACATTGTCGCGGTGGGCTCTCGTCAAGTCGTTGGCATGTGTCGTGTTGGCGCAAGCGAAAAGGCTGTACCCGAAAATCTCACAATGAATTCGAGAGGCATATGCTGAATACTATCGATGACCTTTAATAATCTTATTTGTCGCCAAAGCAAAACCGTCGTATTATGTGCATCGGAACAGTCGAGTAAAAGTATCGCCGCTGTGTTTTTATTCATTTGGGAGCGTTTCCTCGTCGTGTTGGTAACTGAGAAGACGTCAAGTATTAAATTATTCGTATTAATGAAATCATCTCGGCCACGGGAACTGATCACGTTTCGAGTTACAATGAAAACAGCGAGGACACCGACTCGTAGGTTACTTGAAGTGATAGTTTAAGGAAAATATTTCGCGTCTTCTACTCTGTTCGGACCAGAGTTTTTACCCGAAAAGCAATCTGCCTAATGTATTTTGTTACACATAAAGTCACATCGAGCGGATCATCGCACTGGTATTGTGTAATAACGGCCGACGGCCTAAGTTTCTGTGTTGTTTCAATGAAACGAGAGTGTAACACGAACGGCCGTGTGGTGGTAAACTTTATTTTTTACCATGGCAATACAAAGTAATATATGTGTGTAAATTTAGTGTAATCTCATCGTCAAAGACGAATAAAACGGGCCACGGGTGTATCATTTAAAATGTAGTCTGAAAAAACGGGATGGGGTACTCGGTCACATACACGATAAATAGACGCACACATTGGGAGTTATAAGCCACCGCCTGTGTATCATGTTATTCTTATAACGCGAACAATAAACAAACATTTTATTACCGTTGCCGATCGTACTCTGCCGGTTATAAAATATTGTACTTTTTTATGATCCGTGGCCTATATGCATGTTATTAAACACACGTATAATATGAATATTAGTAGAATCCCCGTGCGGTGTTTTTTTATACTACAGAAGCGTTCAAAATGCGTATATTTACTACTTTTACGTACACTACTGTTGTTATTATCATTGATGTCATAAGTTATGAATCGTATGAACAAGGTATCTTTGTGGTCAGCTACCGTAGAAGTTGGTTCGGCGAAGTCATTGGTTTCGGAAACGCGGTGCATTGTTAGAGGATTTTAATGAAGAACGTTTTCTCTGGAGTGTTGTTGATGACCGCGATAGAAATGGAACAACAACCAACCGACAACCTACTGGAATATAAAAGAGTTAACCGTGAATCGAGAATAAGACAATCGAACGCTCTAATGATATTACAATGATCACATCTTCGTATTCACCTGTGTATACTGCGTGCATACAATCAACTCCAAGTAGCTACCTTCTAATCAATTCCTATGTTGCAATTAAAAAATATGCTAAACAATACCGTAGGAAATGTGTGTAGGTTTGAAACTTTCATCTCTTTCGAGAGTCTAGTCCGAATCAAGATCTAATTCAAGTGCAGTTGGGTAAATTTTTTTTTAATTGATAGAAAAATGTCGAGCATCTGAAATTCACTACAATTGTTAATAAAAATATGTTAAAAAAATACTTCTCGAAAATATTAGTTAAAAAAAATATATATTTTTTTTAATAGTATTTTAATTAGCATTTTATCTGTGATATTATCATAATAATGCGTTCAACTTTTGAACACAAGAGAAAAACAGTGTAATTATTTATAAGTGTAGTTGAATAAATCAGTGACGCAGTCAGAAATTTTTTCAGTAAATATTTTAGTATTTTATAATCATTTTTTTTTTTTAAACCAATCTAAACGTACAAACTTTAGTAATTAATTCGATCGTGACATGAATTTCAGAAGGTATATTTATTGGATAGCTAAATTATTCGATTGAAAAATCATAAAAATTCTAGAAAACAATTAATATTTAATATAATTGAAATCAGAGGTAGTGTGGGTAAAGAGCCCCTCGTTGGCTAGAATTTTAATCGCATAGCTGAGAAAAATCATTACATTATACGAACAGAATATAGATCTTCAAGTAAAAATCATTAAATTACATCGAGATAATACGATTCCTAACGCAGTTGTTATAACATACTGAATTAATATATTTATTTAAAACAATTACGCTATAGGTCAGTCCAATAATAACATAAAGATGATTATGTGCGAACATTTGTACATAATAAAGTGTGTCATTATTCATTATTATTATTAATGAATAAAAAACACTGCCACAACATTATTACACCTACTGGCATAATGTGACTATAAATTATTCTGCGAAATGAGCGTTATGACAAGAATTGAATGTGTTCAAATTATTATATCGACTGGTATCAGTAACCACCTAACGTTATCAACTCAATTACGGGACACAACATGTCGACTTGTCGTAATCGCATGTGACTTAATCACAACGATCGTAATGTTCTTTAGAGAATTGCTATTTTTATTTTCGGGTTGTAAAACGTTCGAGTAGTAAGTGAATTTTTATTCTGTGTACGAGGTTCAATTACATAGACGTAATGTAATGAGCCTTATCGACGTGTTACTAAGCTCATTATCGTTAAAAGTGTTTTCGTTAACCATACGGACGCGTATTCGGTTTTTTTTTTTATTACATTTTGCTTTAACATGCAAATTTGCATCATGAATCTCGACGCCGAATATTTTTTGCGGCTTGTATCAACAAAATCCAATCGAAGGATTTTTATTACCTCGAGAATTGCCTACATTAGGGGTTGCCAAAGAACCGATCATCATTCCAAATTGTATACCCGCCCGTTTTTCGGTTAGGTTTATTTATGTTGTTTGACCCGTCGACGCCATTCTCGTATAAATTTGACATACCCCTGGGACTGGGTGTATAGGCTCGTCCGGTTTTTACCTTTAGGATACGCGCAATACACAGTCGCCGAGCATAAAAAAAAAAAACAGTGAAATTATGAGGTTTATATGCATACAATAAAGTATATTCGGCGTAGAGAATTTACTGTGTGTTTGCACGAAAAATTTTAACGACGCAACAGATAAAAGCCCACGCAGAGTATCACTTATACACAAAAACGTTTTCATATGGAAATTACGCTGAGGCATAGTATTTTATTTTAGTGTAAGATCTTACACCGTGGCAATTGTCATACAGAAACAGATAAAAAAAATACACCGAGTGAAAAAAACGCATAGCGAGACCATCGTTTGATCTGAAGGCAACAAGCGTACTTACCTGACTAAGCTATTTGCAAATCAAAATTTGTTTTCAGTATTTTGATTTCATCTTGTTTTTTTGTTGGTGGTAAATTAATACGCTCCGATTATCGGACGGATCATTAGTATTGTAGGAAATACGTTTAATGACTACATTTATTTTTCGAGATGTTATCATTTCAAACACTACTCTATATAACGTTAATGAGGCTTCGTGAACACTCGCACGTACGTATAGTGTTTTGGCGTGCGGTTTTCCTCGAGTGAAATAATAACGTTGTTTTCATATCAACCGCCGCCATTAGGAGAAAAACAGTCGCGTCCCTCGTCGAAGTAAAACGATTGTGTGTTTACCTATGCGAATACAACACCACCAACTGATCATTTGGTCATTTGTAGTTTTGTCGTCGTCGTACAATCTAGTCTATTTATACACGTCTTGTACGTACCGTACTATTATCTCATTTCCCATTTAATAACACCTAATTGTTCAGTATATTCATTTATCTGTTCTGCGGTTTTTTCTACATTGTTCTTCGCGCTCGTGCATAAAAAACTGTTATTGCAGTAAGTTTTTATTGTGAGCAGCAACAGCTTAGACAAAAAAAAAAACATTCGAGCGAAGTATGAATTATTTTCATTAGCAAATTGCTCCAAGGCCGCGTTAACCCACTGAGCCATGCCCACTACCTCTTTGCCGCCGTCGTCGCTCCGCTCTGTCCATCCAAGTCGGTTTATTTATTATGACCGATCATAATGGTTTGGTGTTGTGATAATCGATATTTTTTAACAATGATAATGGATGAAAAAAATACAGCATGGTGTGATCACGATTATTCCTTGGAGTATAGCAAAGCGATAAAATTAGGTAACTCGCTTCTATCATTACACAACTGTCATAAGTATAATGGTCCCGTGTGATGAACACGCGATATTTGCTTGCACGAAAAACGGCCTATATCAATTAAAATTCACACGTGACGTGTAAAAAACAGGAACGAGATACCCCTGTGGTCAACACAAAAATTTGTTAGGAAAACGGTTGTGTGGAGGGACTGATGAGTCTGCTCAACTGTTCTGTACAGTAAACATTTATTTGTTTAACTGCATAATGGAACAACGAAAATGATAAAATAAGAATAGACGTGCGAAGCGTATAAAATTGAAACGTTCGTCTCGACCTTATACAATAGTGTGTACTCAATGGTAAATTTAATTATTTTTTCTGCTGGTAAAAAATTCCAAACGGAGCAAATCGAATAAAACACAATTTGTTTTGTTTTTTTACAAACGCGTATGATTAATAAGGCGAGTAAGTATTGATATATTTTTTTTTATTCTCTTCGACGGAGTGTTGTCTCTTGACGACGGTAAACCAGTTTATGTGATTACTTTCGAAACGATGGTGGAGGTGGTGGTTGTGCGCCAGGCAACATCGCGGTTATGACGGTCATCTGGGCGCACCTCGGACCGGTTCATCTCATACGATACTTTATTTTATATTTGTTGGGCCGTTGCCAAATCTCATTATAAAGATAAACGCACACGAAAATAGAATCGAACAATTTTTTCCTCCTCAGTACTAATAAACAACAATAAAAAAAAAAAATTTTAACGCGCAATAACATCTTCCGTTATTGAGCTACTGAAAAAAAATCTACGGCTTGTGTTGCGACCACGTGCAGGTCATCAATAATCAATGCAGTAATTACACCGTTAAACAAAACGAACATTTCAATGTACTGAATTCACTGAACAATAAGAACTCGGTATGGTGTGAACGATAGTGATGATAGTATTGCATCATTACTTGTGTTCAACAAGCACTCGACGTTCACATAAAACACGTGCGCTAGGTTTCGAAATCCCAAAAAGTCAAACGACTAGAGGTGTTTTTTACGCGGAACCAGGAGAATTTATTGTCATTTGTGTTTACTACCGATATTAATAAATGGTAATGTATTCAAATGGTTTGCGTATTTTCCCGAATGAATTTCGGATCAATTACAATGCAATGAATTGGTAAAAATTCACGTCAAACACCTTAAATAAGCCCATTGCCGGTCGGGTATTTTTCCGAGACAATGACATGTTTGATATTATTTGTCTCTGCTGTCGACGTATTCTTGCGAACACGTTCATTTCTATTGATGTCATCGAGTAAACAAATTAATATTTAATAAATCAAATTCACGTTGCGTTCAGTGATTTTTAAATAAATCTCCGATAATTATTTACTTAAATAATCTTGTTAATAAAAAAATAAATAAATACTATTTTCTTTTGCATAATTACTATTAAAGGTCGTGACTCGATAAGGAAAAATGCTTAGTTTTGAATTTTTCAAGAACACTAATCAATTAATAAGCGCTGTCCGACACAATCTAAATATAAATTAACTGTTATTTAACTTGTTGTTTTCGTAAAATAACATTGTAATGATTTCGATGTGCTAGTTGGGTTCAATAATAATTTTAAAAATTAAGCAAGGTCGACATTTAAAAAAATAATAAAAAATTATATTAAAAGTTACTAAAAACTCAATCAACTTAATAAATATTTAAAATAAGTATATATTTTTTACTTGGATAAAATTCTCACCAACGTTTTGGGCTGATGTATTATGTCTAAAACCTTAACAAAACGGTCGTAAAACTCTAATGTACACCACCGAGTTTTAATGGAATTTTTTATTTTACGGTTTAAAATTTATTCATTAGGGTCATTAACAACTTCAACCATTGAAAAAAGTGTTGGATATATATATATATATATATATATATTACGTAATTATATATTTTTTTAAAAAAAGGCGTTCCTGAATAGTAACTCCTTTACTGACTGTGTAAAAAAAAACATAATACATTTTTTTCTCGCTACATAATTTTTATAATGTCATTATGGATCTATTTACGGGGTAAAAATGCATTAACACCTTTATCTACGGGTCCTTTCAGTTTGTTGACACGAATTTTAGTACAAATATAATAGTCTTTGGTCCAAGTAAATTAAAAAACGGTATTAAAAATATCTCGCAAAGTCTGTCAAATAATTCATTCTATGAATGAGGGTGCGAAGAGGATTAGACTGTCAGTCGCTTCAGTTTGTTTTTCGTATAGAACAGAAAAGAAAGGCCCTAACCAACTACTTTGTTATATCAAACTTTGACCTTGACAGATTGACGAATACCTATGAAATATAAATTTTTTTTTCTCAAAACGGATAGGAATACTGTTGAAAATTCAAAACAAAGAGATAGAAGTGAATTTCAAACAGGTCTGCAGTTAACAATTGAATTACAATAATTACCTTCACGTGGAAATTTATATGCAGCTATTGCAAGCCGCTGCAAGTTATACTCATTATGTTTATTACTCATGCAATATCATATCAGTGTAGCATTGCAATGTGTCACCTGTGAATCGATCGTCTATCGAGGCCATTGCTGTCGCATTACATTTTATGTAGTCAATAATAATACATAATTATGTAGCCAACAATTGTATTTGTATAAGTTTTATAGGCTGCGATTAACAAAACCGATTTTTGTTCAAGTCGTTTAGATGTAACCTTTTGTAAAACGTACTACGTCGTAATAATTCGATTCGCCCAATAAAAACAATATTATAATGTCATGCAAAGGTAAACTCAACTGCTCGTACGATATTCTCGAGGCAGACATAAGTAGAAATGGCGATGAATGATGTTTACTGGCAACCGGTTTGTGGCGCCAACGCAAATGAAAAACTCAATAACACGTTTAGGTTTTATGATAACTGGCCCACACGTCAAACGAGTACAAATTCAAACTTTCATTTTACGATGCGGTTCTGCAACGAGGTGTCGACGCGCACAGTAAAAAAACCAACAGAAACTGCAGCGATTTTCTCGGCCGAGCACCCCGAAAATGGGGCCGACGCTTTGGTCGTCCAATTGCTGTTCCACGTGCGACCGATGAGCAACGCAGGAAAGGGGGCTGCAATTTTTTACTACGGTAATTGCCGAAATGTTAATTTCACCGCGATGCGATCTGAACTAGCGGTTCGATTTAAAGGCAATCAAAAATCGTTCGTACGAAAGTGTACATGGCAAATTATTACCGCCGTGTACTACTACACTATCTTGTCGACTGTCGTTTCTAATTATAGTGGCGGATATGCTGGAAAAACACATTGCTCGGTCAATAATTATAACTTACACGAAGTTATTAACCAAATAATATCAGTAACGACACTAATAAACGTCATCGTAAATAAATACTCTTGTTCGCCGGCAATTGATTTTACCAGTTACAGCGCACACTTGCTAATGTTATTTGCTCGGTGGCGGCGGCGGCGTAGGGTTTTCTTTGTGCACAAACGTGGCAAGTCCTTATTTGTCGTTTCACAGGACAGACTCGTTGTAACAAAAAGCGTACACGGACGTGTTAAAAGAACGTTTCCAGTGTTTTCCTCGCACCGACCGCATTTGCTGTACGTGACGTTGCCGAAAAAGCACTTTTCGGTATTCAGCGTACGCCGCAGGGAAGACTGGTACGGTAATTGACAATGTTATTACAATATTAGTTGGGTAAAGACGCGTTGCGATACCAAAGCTGAACATTAGCTTTGAAACCGGTTTGGCTGAATTATTTTTTCGCATTGTTATAATATATTGTTGGCGCGTTCTTTACCGCAGGCAACCGAGCAACACACACAGCCGCTGATAAAACCGAGTCGTACAGTGTGTTATCGTACGACGAATTTCAATTTCGTAATTGAAAACCTCCCAAAATTACGGCCTGTGTCGACGAGCGACCACCACCAACACTACTCTACGGTTATAATTCAATTGCTATTGCTCCGCTATCTATATTACTCGTGTAACGATTAAGAGATTAAGTTCCACGGATTTTCTTAGCCAACAATAAAAAACATAATAAAAGTATACATCAGCACTCGTTGTGTGTTTGTTTACTGATTTGAAATGGCGAAAAAAAAAAAAAACCCAACAAACTAGGTGAACTAGTTCTTGGTTTTGCGATAAATTTGCGCTCGTGCGATTAGCAGTGGCGAGGAAAGATAACGCTAATTAAACACCAAACAGTTTTTCTTGTCATTTATTTTGTAAATGAAAACAAACGGCGTATTAACGCGGTTCTAAATCGCAATGAAATAGCAAAAAAAAAAAAAAGCGACAACAGTAGCAATAAAAATGCTATTACAAAACGGAACGCTTCCTCCAGCAGGTGGAGAATAATAAAATGTACGTATTGCTTACGTTTTCTACGTGATGCAAGTCGAAGAAATTGTAATTTAAAACTAAAATAATATTATTTCGTTGTAGCACATTGTAATAGCGCGTGATATAACAAAAAAAAAGTTCCGAGGCAACCGGGTAAAAAAAAAAAAAAAATGATTTATTAACATTTTATAATA